AGGATAGGATAGGATAGGATCGGATCGGATCGGATCCTTCGGTTCAAAGGCATCTACAATGATCATCTCATCCAACTGCCTAATTGCTTTAGGGCTGAATAAAAACTACAGGATATTGTTATAAGAACTGCACCCTGAGGAACACTGCTGGTGGCTGGTCACCAGCCAGCTCTAATCCCAGTCACTACACCCCTCTGAGCTCTGCCCTTCAGCCAGTTCTTCACCCAGCACACCATGAACCTGCTCATCCCACAGCTGGACATCATGTCCCAAAGGATGCTGTGAGGGGCACTATCAGAAGCCTTAATCCAGATTTAATCCATTAGGAATCCTTAATCCTTCCTAAAATCCAGGAAAATAACATCCACCTCCTTCCCTTCATCCAGTAGACAGGTGACCTTGTCATAGAAGGCTATCAAATCAGTTAAACAGGACTTTCCCATTGCGAACCTGTGTAGACAGTGCATGATGATTGCATTATTCTTTAAGTGCCTTTCAACAGCACCCAGTGTGATCTTCTCTGTAATTTTTCCAGGTACTAAGTTTAGACTAACAAGTCTTCCTGGGTCTTCCCTCATGCCCTTTTTGTAAATGGGAATAACACTGACTATCTTCCAGTCAGCAGGGACCTCCAAAGACCCCAAGACCTTTGGTAGATATCTGTATATGTATCTCTGTACCTGTGTTACTCAGCCATTTAGGTGAGCATTAAAACCCTTAAAAGAAGTTATGGGTCCCTGTTCGGTCTGTAGTTTGTAAATCTTAACAAAACATAACAACCCAAATTTATTGGACTTAAGATATTAGTTTGGAGATGTTGTATTTAATGATATCATTGTAAGAAGTTTTTGCATGCTGTGTAGCTAAGTTAGAAGTAGGTAGGCTATTACATAAGTATATCCTATTTCTGGTGAAATTACGTATTGGGCTAGAGGGGACATAATTACATTTCTGATGCTTGAATGTCAAATTTAGATACACATTCCAAAATAAGCACAGACTTAGTCAACAACTATATACAAACTGTTTAATATTACCATCTTTAGATCTGCTGCAAAGTTAATTTCTAGTACCAGTCTTTCACACAATAGTAATTGTCTCATCTGTCTGTCTTTCAATGTCTTCTCTGCCTTAGTGATTTAAAGATGAAAGTGCCTGATTCATTGTGGCAGGGAAGAAATAAAAGGTAGGGATTTTTAATTCACTTTTCCTAGAAAACAGATCTTATATAATTACCTCTCCTGCTGTCCTTTTCCAGCTAATATCTTGTGAAGCTGTTGACTGGTTATATTGGCAAAGTAGTAGACGTCTCATACATAACAATTCTGCTCCTATAATATCTGTGAAAACAGGGGGCTAGGAAGAGAAGACAGTCCCGGGCTACCACCTTGACTGAAAGCAGCAGTACATCTTTATTAGGAATGAAGAGATGTTATGGAAATACTACCTGATGGGGAGGATTACTTTATGGCTTGCCCTCTACCAAATTCAGAATAATTCACCCACAAGGCCATGGGAGATGAGGATACTTGTTTTGGTTTTCTGAGTTACTCAATTGTACTTTAAGTAGTCAAAGAGAGAACAGAAATTCCAGAATTCCCTACAGCTCGTACAAAGCAGCACAACCCTTAGCATACCATCAGAGTACTTTAAAAGACCACCTTAGGCATGTATTTGTGTTAACCACAATTTTGTCACTGAGCTGCTACTTTGCAAATCTGCACTTTCTTTTACATCTCATCCAGAATTCCTTTAAATGCCCCTGTTCTGCTATTTATAGCTATGTGTGTGCCTGTGCGTATTTTAAGATTCATTAATTTTGTATATGTCAGGGAAGGATCCACTGATGAAAGATCACAAAGAGGAAGTGGGCAGATAAATGGAAACAGCACTCCAAAAATCAAGCAATAATAAAGATACAATGCAGAGAATTGTGAATATAATAATGCTGTGAATATAATACAGGCATGGAAAATGGGAGAGTTACTTGCAAGAAAGCAAAGTCTTTCTCATGCCAGTGGAGACTGAAGGGTCTGTAAATGTTTGATTCTGTGTGGTGAAGACAAGCTTTGAGGAAATGTATTCATTTCACTCAGATGTGTTGACATGTATCAGTAGTCCAGAATAATTCTGTATAAGGAATGAATTCTGTATAAGCATGAATTCTCCAGTAATCTTTATGTGTACTTGTTAATGTCCTGGGCATGTCCTGAACTCCACTTGCTGGAGTTCCCTTTTTCTTTAGGAGGTAGGTGGAATTCTTTTCTGTTGCAAAATGGAGGGTTTTTTGGGAGGTTTGAAAGGTAAAAAGATGATTTTTTTTTTTCTCCAGCCCGTGAAAGCTTATTGGCCCTTTTTTTGACCATCTGTGATATATTCACAGAATGTGGCAGCCAATAACATTCTGGGTTTTACAGGTGTACTTGATTCAACAAAACTCATTTGCAGCACTGGGGATTAAGGATTCTTTTTCTGCTACAAATCTTTGTTTAAGAACATTGGTGTTTCATGTTGAAATGGATGTGCAGTATATCTTTATTCTGTAAATTGCATGATCAACCCCAAGCATGATTCAGACCCCAAGGTCTGAATATCCAAGGCAAAAGTAGTCAAAATCATGATTAATACTGCTGCTGTACTTAAATTCACTGCAAACCACCCTTATAAATTGTTCTGCTCCTATATGTTTTCAAAAACAGAGCACGTATTGGGACAGTGCATGACCCACAGGTTGAGTAATGTGCTACATGCTTCCATGTCTTGACAATATGGTAGAACATAGAAGTACATTTGTCCAGTATTTGATTAAAGAATGATCAAATACTTCTGTGCTCTAGGTGGATTCATTTATGTAATAGCATTAGTTTTACTACTCTTATAATGAATTATATAATTGAAGAACTTAAGTGTGTCAGGCCTTACTCTAGCCTTCATTTGTTCCTATTTTTGGTCTTACTACAGTTTAAAATGTATTAGGTTGCCTATCTTTGCCAATGCCAGGTCCACTCCTAAGTTTCAAACATTCAGAGTATTAGAGCAGGCATCGCTAAGAAAAAACAACCAACTAAACTTGTGTAACTTGGATTGTCACTGAATGCAGTGGTATACATCTGATTTGTTTAGAAGCAGCTCGGTAGTCTAGCTTACAAACCTCACACGACTGAAAGCTACCGTCAGGATGTTTCACCACTGCAACAAAATCAGATGCTATTTCCTTAATTGTGTCTCCATTCTGAGGCAATACAGATTCAAATGCTCATCCAACTTTTCTTTCTCCAGGTAGTAGAAATTCTGTAGAAGAGATCAAGTATGCTTTTAAAGGCAGAAGTATTCCTTGCTCTGCTGCATGCTTTTTAAGAACTGTGCCCACAGGACTACCATGGGAATTTATTCTGCACCCTCCAAAGTATCATGGCCATACCTAGCAGGAAGCAGCAAGGGCAGCCACTCTGTATAGAAAGGTGAGCCAGGGGCAAAGGCTGGCAGGATTGTGGCCTCACTGACAAGGGCACAGTCCCACAGTACTGAAGCACAAAGAGCAGAGCAAGTCTGGTGATCGCAGCAAGGCTCAGATAACAGTCCAGACAACCAGACAAGCCTGTAGTGACGAGACAGGTCCAAGATCAAGCCACAATGTCAAGTGAGCAGGTCAGGATCAGAGTCAAGAGCCAGGAAGGTGGAAGAGCAAGCACAGGCATTCCTGCAACAAAATTCAGGCAGAGACCGAGAGCAAGAGCCCAAGCTAAATAGCAGCCCAGCGTGAAGGTGGACAGAACCCTATTTCTTACAGCTTTTTCTTACACCACTCTTTCTATGCAGACCTCTGACTCAAAGTCACAGAGCTGCATGAAGCCAGTGCTGAG